GTCAGGAAAGGTTATCGTTGTTCAAAAGTCTTAGTGCCCCTACTCTCGACGAGTCTACAGGAAACTCTGTGAGAAGTGGTGTACGTCAAATTGCCAAATATCTACCTTCATCTTTGCAGTTGAAACAATCATGACTGACTCAATAGTGCAATCATTAAATTAGACTTTGTAAGGGAAATCATCTTCCATAAAATGACCTAATTTTTTTGAACTTCACCCAAAACGTTCATGCCAATCTTGTTTACCACATTTTCCCTTTTGCTACGCAAAACTGTTGCCTTGCTCACTTGTTCTTGATTGGCATGTGGTGCTACACCAACACTGTAATAAATCTCGAACATTCCAAGGTTGGTGTATAGCTATGTATTGATGCGTATTTCGGAATTGATGGCAACTCGGGTTCGCGCGCTGACCTTGTGTTCCCTGAATCTGCGAGGCTTACAGCGGGGTGGAGATTATCACTCAACACAGATATTCTACGAAACAGAGCGATCATTACCGGTAGATATCGGCTAGCATCGTTCACATGAGTTGGTCAGAGGTACTGGGAGGATAACTGGGTGGCAAACGGTTAGACGTGAAGTGCGCGAACGACATAGTTCACGCTGGATCGATCTCATTTGCCACGCGTGCTACAGAACAAACTGATGGGTTATCTGTGATAGCAGCTGGTGGGTAACGCGGGCGAAGCCGACGAAAGGCTAGTAGAAAAGAAAACCAATCAGCGCCGGAAGCGAAAATTTGCCATGCTTACACGAGTCGAGTGAAGAGTGAGAAATCAGGTTGCAGCATTGTGAATCAGGCCCCTCTCCAGCCTGGACAAAAGCAAGCGAGTTGCCGCACGTGATACTAACCCGAAGCGGACGACCGAGCGAGAGAAGCACAAAGCCGGCAGATGGAAAGCTAGTCAGCGCCGCTAGCAAGAGCTGCTCACAAGCGCAAGAACCAAGTAGAGTAAAGTTAAGGTATGGTGAACGAAGTGCAACTTTGTTTCTGTCAGGGTAGGGATGATCCGAACAGCTGCGAATGAACGATGAGCGTGAGCCAGTGAACTCAGGCAGATGGCCAATAAGAATCAGTCGTTGGAAGTGCGTTCCAGTGAATAGTAGTTGGAAGTCAAACAGGATAAAATGATCGTGTTTTTTGATAAGCGATTTGGATTACTGCCGAATCTTTGGTATGATTTTCGGAGGGCTAATAAAACACTACCCAAAAGCGCTTGAGCATATGCTCTGTTACAAGACTAGGTCGACACACTAGTGGTTTGCTAAGTCATAGAGAAACCGCTCGAAATGGTCGAGTGGTTTAGATACTTACGCACCTGCATCACTACTAGTGGTAACATCACCGATGAGGTTACCGTGCAAAATAGCCTGAGTTCATGCACCTTTCAAAGCTTTAGCTATTTATAGAGAATCATGAATTATATCCACGTATAAGTAAAAGTCCAAGTAGCGAGATCTCTTTTTAATAAATCAATTCAGACCATTACAATAATAAGAAACATACAACACAGTATGCTAGTGAAAGCGGGGTTGAAGGCATGTGACATGAAGACATCGAATATCCTGTCGAAGAGACATAGATATGCCATCAGAGAATTAAGAGCAAATACTGATGCGATACTTTCCAGATGAGATAGAGGTTCTGGTAGGGCATTAACGAGTAAGTCCAACTAAGTCTCTAAGCTTCCAGGCATTTTAGAAGACACGAGTAAGTTTGTGCGCGCGACGATTCAAAAGGATAAAACCGGCAGTGAGGTCATGATCACCAAATTGTTGGAGTTAAGACAATCAAATTGGATAAACGACTCGACTTGATCGGTTAACTCCTGTGGGTTAACACATTACTCTAGACTATATGGACCTACAAAAGTGTATAAGCCTCAGCTACCGCTACCCCCGATACTTGACATATCCTCCTCAATTAGTAAAAGACATTTGAACTAGTTAAACATGTAGAGAATTTAAATGCTGACGGCAAGCGCATGATTTCATTCGACATAGAATTTCTCTTCACCAATGTGCTGTTGATAGAGACTCAATCTTTTTTGTGAATACATTGTCGCGAACAACTTGTACCTCGATATTCTAGCACCTTAATTAAGCGTTTGCTATTGGATGGTATTTACTGCAAGCAAAATGCTGGTGTAGCGGTAGAGGCTCTCCCAGAGGAAAACCTCTAGCTGATATTTTACCGTCGAAACTGAAACGTGGACCGTTGTAGCCTATCGCCGCATCGCATGACTATTTGTGATTCGAACTTAGATGTTTCTTACGTATTAACTCAGTTCAACAGTGCACATCCATCATTGCATTTCACTACTGAAATCAAGTGAAAATGAGCCTTTTGGATGTTTTTCTGGAACAACGGAATGATGGCTTCCTAGAGAGGAGCACTTTCTGGAAACCTACATGGGTCGGCCAATAAACCAAATTTTTAAACTGTGTACCATTGCAGTACAAACGGAACTTAGTTCCTTGTTTACATTATCGTGTCATCAGAATCCGTAGTCAGGAGACGCTAGATAGCGAGAAAAATCGCACCTTCAGAAGGTTGCAAGAGAACGGATACCCTGGTCTGTTTTTCAGAAAGTACGCGACTATCCGGGAGCGCCTGGAAACCGCGATGAATGTGCCAAAAAGACGTATTTCTCTCGGTTCGATTCAAAGGGGATGCCGCCCTTGACTTACTGGAGAGAAGATTCCCAAACGGTGACAAATACCTACCCAGCCTTCTTGCTGCATTAGCCCCGCGGCAATTCATCGGCGTCGAACACTGGCCGCGTAACGTCGGCTGCCAAGTCTGCTTGCAGTGAATCAGCATAAGTATCAGTCCAATTTATTGGTCACATTCAAATAGCAGCAGCATTCAACTCGGGTTTCATAAGGATACTGTACTGCTTAGAATCATAATGAAATATTGAAAAGAGATATCTTCGCTATCTGGACTTATAGAGACAACAAGCGTAAGCGGCAAAGCGATTAGGAGCGTTTAGCGAACGCGTTTCCACCGGAATCAAATCAACAAAGCCGGAACAGGACAATGATACCATTTACAAGTAAGGAAGTAAAACAAACGTACAATACTTCAACATTCTGTGCTAGCAGCACAAGTTTGATTCAACAATTCTAATTTACTCCAAATAGCTAACGAATCATAACTGGGTCTTTTGCTTGACAATTGCACGAAGGTAATCGACCGATCAGAGGGATGGTACACAAAGTCGTGGGCGTTGAGTCAAGCATTGTACATTTCGACAGTACATAGATGTTGGACGGAACTCAATGAAGCGCACGAAGGAAATAGTTTTCGGGGATGACCTCCATCCACATTAATGTTCCAGGAATGTGAGGTCACTGAGAATAGGGTGTAACCGTGAGCCTGACTCAGAAGTGTCAATGTAACAAACAAGGGGCTGTAGATCAACGTCCAAACGGCGCAAAGGGGGCTGAGATTGAAACAGTTCAGAGCATCGATAATGTAACTGCCGGTACCAGAGGTAGCGAGAGTGGGGTTGTTCACATCAAGTTGAAATGAGATAAACATGTAGGTAATTAAATATGGTGAGACAAATGCTTAAAGTGCAAATGTATACAGAACAGAGTTGACGTCAAGTCACAGAATCAGGATTGCGTTCCAAAGCACACACAATTTAGGTTGGGGCAAAGCGAAGGGTTGGTTAATTGGCAGTGGGAATTATAGCGAGGGGATCATTGAGCGGGACAATTTTCTCAAGAATATGGCATTCAGAATACTTCTAAAGCAAGGTAAGCGCTTAATGGTTAAGAAAGGAGTTTACAATTCCGTGGTGCGATCAGTGCTACGTTAGGAACCAGACACTTGATGGTTACAATCTGAAGTTATTTGGTAACTAGCCATTTTGACCACCGATACCTGAGTAGTGCCTCTCAGCCATGGTGGGATAACGCAATTGGCAACGTTGCAATTTATCATCTGAAGCCTAGCAACAGATAGTAAGGCGCCTCACAGGTGTGGCTGTTGAACAGATCGTATGTCTTTTATGTCATCCAAACGTCCAATCCGGCATACGTTAGTTACCAACACTGCGCTTGATTTAGTGAAACCAGGTGCCAAGACAATAAAACTACATAGAAGGAAGAAATTTACCAAGTGAACAATTCCTGTTGGTGCTTGACGCGTTCCCGGATACAGACTCACTGGCAATAAAAGTTAGATACGCAATCGAATAGGTCACATTTACGAAGTCGGTGGCGTTGACGTATACAACTTAATCCTGCTCGTTTTAGCGAACTGAACTGGTTATTTTATTTCTTATACATCCCTCTCCAGTCATTATAATAGGGGCGTGGATCGGACGGAGTGGATTCGCCAAACTGCGCACCGACTGTAGTCGAAAACTGAACCGGTTGTTTTAGAAAATTAAAGTACATCGCGTGGTGTTACGATTTAGTTGCATAATGGACGCAGAATATTATTCTCAGGAGATAGCGTAGCAGGAATCGAAGCACCTGACGTATAAATAAAACTAGAAGTTAGCATACCTCTACCTGTCTCTGTAACTGCTGTTGCTGAAAACGTCTTGGATTTCCGATTTTAGTTAGGCTCAGAAATTTGAGGAATAAGGGATTGTTCGAAATTGTGATCACATTGAAATTGGGAGATATAATAATGCTTTCTCAACTAGGACAAGTAACGGACGTTTATTAACAAATATTATTGAGCAAATTGTATTATAAAGTAGAATTTGAAGAACTAAGTACGAATTTGTGGTATCTCTGACATGATTTAAACAGACAAGTGAGTGATCGACAAACATATCTTTGATCTAAAATATACCGTTGACAAATTTAGGGTTGGTACATACGAACTGAGTGTACCGGGCTGTCGCCGTATACCATGGCAACGGGACACGATGCTCAAACCAACTGATCTACCACAAGTACAACAACAGAGCACCATTCCTATAAATACAAACAAGGTAAGCTCATTTATGTGAAACCACTCATGAGCTAAACGCACCACAATTACAGCTGCCAACAGCCATCGAATGCAAGCGCTATCAGCGGAAGCTAGATTATCTAAAGTTATATTTTTAAAACACAATACTTTCCACATGAAGCTGTGACTTCATTCACAAATATATCTTGGTGATCCATCTGTATCTGTTTAAAGTGGGAGTAGGCTTGAATTGCGTTGGCAGGCAGGTGAAAAGTTGACGGTTGCTGGAAAAACACGCGTGCGAGTGAAAAAAAAACGTTAACAGCGAAAACAGTGGTTTAGACATGCCATGAAAGAGAAAATTTGATCACAGGCTCAGCGAGGTGTAAAGTTCGTCGGATACCTCTACTTCGAAGGATGTACATTAGATGAGTGGACTCAAAAATACGTAGCATGAGTCGAAGGTACGCACAAAAAACTCGTACGGTTCAGTGTAAAGTCAATATCATGAGATCCTGGATCGATATTTTCAGCAAATAAAACCTTGAGACAAGCAGTGGAGCTCAAACGTCATTTTCGCTGACTGGAACTGCTAAGATTCGGGGGCGAAGCTTGAATGCGGGAACCAAAGCTTCTATAGCATTCTGAGTGTGTTTGATCTTGGCTTCACCGTTCCAATGGTTGCCAAGCACATGAACCAGATCGCCGCGTCTCAAGCCAGAAGATGGGTCTGGTATGATGGCTTCCTGAGGATTGCTCTGTTGCCCGCCGAAATAGTACGAATCGTCCAGAGATTGTACCAAGGCGCTGGCGTCACCCAGATCTGCATGGCGTGATTGCATAAGTTCGTAGGCTAAACGGCAAACCTGGTGAAAAATTGGAATTCGTCGAATCACCAGAAGTGGGAAATAATTGTGGAACGCAATTTTGGTTATTAGCTTAAATCAAATTTATGGTAAGTCAATGCTGCCTAGTGTCAGGATCGCAACCTATGACTGGTATCGGGGGCACCAAATAGAGACGAAACCCATAGCGGAGCACAGTACTAAGAACAAGCAAAACAGAAGATGGAAAATAGTACGCCATGATTTCATCGAAAAACGTTCGGTTTCGTTATTCGATTACGTCTTGAGCGCCGGAGCGTGGAAGTCCTAATTGTCACGACCAGCACAGTTACGATGTCGAAAGATGCCATGCGTGGGAAAACGAAGGTCACGTAAAACATTCGTAAAACAAAGAGAAATTGGTCGAAAAAAGTAAATGTAAACCACCGGAAAGTGAACTGAACAGTAAGAAGGAACCGACCAAGTCAATCTTCACGTGACCCTACATACTTGGTGCCGCGTGCTAGCCGAAAGTGAGTGGCCACAAAATGATGCCAATCGAAGACTGTGAATGAAATACGATTCCATAACGGATTCCAGGGAAAGATCGTTTAAAGCAGCATGAGAAGCGAAAAAAGGCCGAACTACCTAAGTAAGGATTAAGCTAGTTGATTGGTGAGTACGCTCAGTACGTAGCATAACATCATTCTCTATGGTGGGAAATGGGAATCAAACGGATATTAGAGAGTAAAAATTCTAAAGCGCTAAAAAGTGACAAGTACAGAGCGTTGTGCATACGTGAACCGTTGGTTTAAATGGACAGAAGTCGGAATAGAACAACGGGGCATGTGGCTGGAAGACGCTCAGGCTATCGGTGAAGCTCGTATGGGAAATAAGAAATAGAGCAAGCACCAGAACGCCTCACTGGCTCACACACAACGAGTGAGCGAGCTGTTGGTGAGTGAAACAAACATGGAGGTTTGTCCACCGCAGGAGTACACTCAATGTGTTGGGCGACGAGACGAAGTACTCATGTTAAATCAGTTAGTAAAATAATCACTACGGTCTCACCTATCCATATTAAACTTCTAGGTTAGTTCATTGCCATACAGCTGATTCTGAACAAAAGCCAGCAGCAGAAACCCGATACTTTGTAACGATTTGTGAGCACGCAACCGCAGGTAGTAGTACGCAGACTGGGAGAGGAAGCGCAGACGCTGCAGTAAGAGGGGCACTTAGGCTGTTAGCTAGGGTTAACTGAGTACTCAACTCTAACGTTTTCTGATGACAGAACGAGCTGCCCAGTTGTCGGATGTGTGTGTCCGACATATGTGTGGCACACAAATGATGATGCATCTACCAACCTGCAACACGTTAGCTTCAGTCACTGAGAAAAGCAGTAGAAACTACGGAAAAATATATCCCCGGAAACAGATATATCAATAATTTTCGCTGAGAATAGGCAGACAAAACAACGCCGTGAATCCCGTTTTGGAATTCATAAAGACTAGACTTATTCAGAAAGACATAGTAGTTGTTCGGAATGTTAGGAAAGTAATCTTGCTTAACAACCAGTCGACTGGTAAGACAGCGCACCTAACAGAGCGGGTAGATGATCATTGCTCGTTCAAGATGACGAGTGGAATTTTGTTAAACAGAATGCAAGATTCGGTGTGTGTGTGTGTGTGTGTGTTAGCTGTTCAGCTCCAGGTCTGATGAACTCCAGTCGAATATCAATCAAATGTTAAGAAATCCACCAGCATACACGTAGCAGTTCGGTCAGTTGCGAATACTACGGTGCACAGTAACATTCAATGTTGTTGCGATAATGGTTGTCAAATGAGGCCGCATACTATTAACGCAATGGAAAATGTTTCGAATCAAAATAACACAGTCGAAACAAAATCAACGTGCAGGTGATCTGCACTGTTTACCTTGGCTGTCCTGTGCTTATTGCAACTGGTCGAAATGAGTGAGGCGCGCACTAGATTGCATTTAGTAATGCTCAATAAATCAGTGGTTCAAATAGCAGACTACACACGATGTTAGCCGTATCACTTTGACCGCTCACAATATTTGAAGGAAAAATACGTGATAACATACTGTCGACAAAAACCGTTTAAGTAACTATCTCAGAGATCGAACAATCATTACATTATGGTCGAAAGGAGGATAGAAAACGAATGCGAAGTAACTACCAGGTCAACAGTAAACGGTTCAGCAATATTCAGCGAAGTCTCACATCACAAAAACACTACGCTGCTATGATCTAATGTGCAAAAGATGTCGTTAGAAACAAGAAAACGACGCAATAATACGTCTATGGATGCTGCTACTCTCGGGTGTGCATTGAGTCTCATGGGCCCCATCAGGTAAAGGAGGTGGCGTGTGATCAAACCGATGGATTCAGGCCCGTTGGTTTGCTGGTCATAAAACAGATGTGTACTGGATGAGTGCGGTGTGCCACGATAAACTATGGCGTGATGAAACGTCGCCACTGACTAAAGTGCGGGATGATAGCAGACCACAAGTCACTTCCCTCCGTTACATAAATGGTAGGTCCCTTGAGTAAAAACAGACTGCTGCAGAAAATCCATATTGCAAACTAAAACATGAGTCAATCTAAAAAATGAACCGTTATAAAGAACCGAAAACAGTCAGCATACGTTCAAACACTGTGCGGGCGCATTACTCCCGCACAATCTCGTAAAACTAAAAGCATACCCCAATATGTGCACATTCTAATTACAACATAACTTCTCGGAGGCTTCACAACAAGACTTGTAAACTAATCGTACCAAAAACCAGGACAGCAATTCTATCCAACTGCTTCCTCGTCAGATATGGTGACGTGTGGAATAGCCTACTAATGGGAGGCCGCAGAAGAACGTGACAAGGTTTCGAGACGGCTATCATCGGGACATGGGTTGCAACCCGACCGGCAGTAGCAGAGCTGAGTCAAGCCGGAAGCTGATGAAATCAGTTCGACATTATTACACGGGTTGTTACCCGACCTGCGGTACCACGGCTAAGTCATGCGCGAAGCTGATGAACTCAGACTGTCAGCATGAAACAGGTTGCTACGGGAGATGATAGATTGTGACCTATAAAATGAACTATGATCTGTGCCTAATATACCTTGGTCTAGTAGGCTTCGGTGTTCGGTTTCTTTCTCGGCTGGGTTGGCAGTGGCAGAGAGAAAGCAGTGTTACAACACTTACAAATCGCTATCAGGTATTGTAGGAATAAAATAACAATCCGCAGGAAACCTGGGAAATTCCTGGACCGGAACTCATCGATCACCATGTTTTCAGTGGGCAAATCACCGAAAGAGTTCTTCGAAAATGGGATAATGAATGTGTAGCCAGTGAGAAAAAATGATATACAAAACTCAGCATCAATTAAAGTTATGTATAGTAAAATATTTTGTTGACACAGGCGCTCCAAAGTACACATTTCACGCAAGCGTGGATATGATTATTACTGTACTAATGTGTCCTTATTTCTGTGACAGCGCCACGATGGCTTGCCGAACAACCTTCTCGTGGTGTCATCTAGATGGTTCGGGTTTATTCCGTTCCAGAGAACAGGTCGGCGGCAGTGTTCCAGGACGTGGTGGGTTTTCGTCTGGCAAGCGTTCAGCTTACAAAAAGTCACACATATCCGTTTAACAACACTGCGACGTGGCGGAGATGCTATTAAATGAAGTCACTGTCCCTTGTTTCACTGTGATGAAGCATTGCATTCCAGAAACGCGAAGCTGAAATTGTGGAGAGGATTGGGTTCTTATTTGTCAACCGTCCAAACGAAAGGCGAATGAAGTGAGCAATCAGTCACCGGCTTGTTATAAGCACGATTTACCAAATCCGCTCCCTTGCAGTGCGGGGCAGAGGGTAGTGTCCCCTAAGACAACTCCGTACTTTGGCTTGGGAAACCGGGAAATATTTTGCCCTTGCGCGAAAACATCGATCTCTCTGTGTTGTATTAGGACTACTATTTGAGGCAACTGCAATGCCCTTCGAGTTCCATGGTTTTTGATAGCTCTTTGTCCATTAGCAGACTGACATTACATATATATATATATATATATATATATATATATATATATATATATATATATATATATATATATCCGGTTACTGATTTGCCAGTCGCTCTGAGCTTCCATAGGACAGCTATAGGAGGTCTACAGCGGGATCATGGGCGGCTTGCGTTGCCCCACCCACACACCCGACATCCAGTGTAAACCCGAAGGAATAAGAAAGGAAGGCATGTGGATGGGAGCCAGCTTTCATCAACGGAGCCGGCCCACATTCCTACACAGGCAAGCACAAGCACGCTGTATGTGGGGAATCAAACGCACACAAGGCGATGGCTAGACCGTAGTCCGCTCCGCAGTGCGTGCATGGAACCGCTCTTCGAGCCAAGCACGACCACAAAGACCGTGCACCCCGTCCTCTCCAGCAACGATCAACTGTCTCCTGGAGCCAGTATGAACGAGGTACTGGGTAATAGACAGGTAGGCACCTTGTCAACATGCACAGCAAGCGCAGCCACACCAGGGATATCAAGCAACAGCCAATCACTTGAAACGACAAGAAAAAATAAAATAAAACGAATAATGCATACACATGCGGTGGCATAACTCTTCGCTAAGTTGGCATATGAAGTAAGTTGGTTAGCAACGAATCCGCGATAAAATGTCCACAAGTTACTTAAAAATGCTACAAACGTAACAAAGTTACCGAAGATAAGCGTAATTAGCGTAAGCAACGTGGCCAATTAATAGGACATTATTCAGGTAGTCAGAACAAACCAAATAAAGTGCAATGAAATTTATCCAGATTATATATATATATATATATATATATATATATATATATATATATCCCCTCTCGCACCATGCCGGGGCCGACGATGCATTCTGGATGTTTCTTCACTGCAGTTGGGCTGAACCAACTTACAATTGAGCTAGGTCTTTTAAGCTGGATAAATTTCATTCCACTTTATTTGGTTTGTTCTATCTAGCTGAATAATCTATTAACTGGCCACGTTTCTTAAGCTAATTGCGCTTATCTTCGGCAACTTCGTTGCGTTTGTGGCATTTTTAAGTAACTTGTGGGCATTTTTTACTTACCGCGGATTCGTTGCTAACCAACTTACTTCATATGCCAACTTAGCGAAGAGTTATGCCACCGTATATGTATGTACTATTAGATTTATTTTGTTTCATCATGTCGTTCCAAGTGATTGGCTGTTGCTTGATATCCCTGGTGTGGATGCGCTTGCTGTGCATGTTGACAAGGTGCCTACCTGTCTAATACCCACTGCCTCGTTCGTACTGGTTCCAGGAGACAATCGATCGTTGCTGGAGAGGACGGGGTGTACGGTTCTTGTGGCCGTGCTAGACTCGAAGAGTGGTTCCATGCACACAGTGTGGAGCGGACTACGGTCCAGCCACCGCCTTGTGTGCGCTTGATTCCCAAATACAGTGTGCTTGTGTTTGTCTGTGAAGGAGTGCGGTTTGGCTCCGTTGATGAAACGTGGTTCCCATCCGCACGTCTCCCGGTCTTATCCCTTGGAGTTTACACTGGATATGGGTTGTGTGGTTGGAGCTGTGGGTGGTGCAGCACAAGTCACCCATGGTCACTCTGTAGGCGCAGGCGCCCTGTGGCTGGCCACAGTGACTGGCAACTCCGAAACCGGATGCCGCCAACCATATCATCTCGCACAGCTAATGGGTCTTAATAAGTAAGGTTAGTCAAATAGCAAAATCGGCGACAGGAACGGAACTTCAAACGTAAAATCAGCTGAAGCGCGAGGGACGTATGCTCTCAGTATTTGATGGAACATCCGAAACAAAAGCAACATTGTGTTGATAATGAGCACACAGCACAGCAGTTGTCAGGGTGTAAACAAGAAAATTGGCGTCAAAGAAGTGAAGAAAACCTGGATAGAATGTAATGGATACAGATGGACGGACGTACTTGGGAGGAAAACGTACAGACGAGATAATCAGTTTTTGACAACAACATGATATCCAGTGCGATGCCAGTGATTGCATCGTCACTTAACCGGTTGTGCACACCGGCCGATGAGGCACGATTAGGATCACCAAGGATGATGTATGTGGGGAACTTTTTACGCATGTCCCGGAATACCGAAGGCTCATCGGTCGCGACAAACACGCGACGTTCTAAAGGTGGCAGGTGAAGTACTTTGGCGCGAAGATCAGCCATCCAATCCTACAAGAAAAGAATTAAGTTAGCAAAAAGGTGATTAGTTTGACAGTCCCATGCTTACAGGGGAAGGTGGGTGTTCTATTGCTAGGACGGACGAAGATGAGTGTGCTGGTAGGATAATTCTATGCAATGAAGCAGTTCCATCTCACTCCGTGACATGTTAGAGGCGTGCATAAGCTAAATGTGGTAAGCTGATTAAGGAGTGTTCGCGGTTACCGAGTAAATACGCATTTTCGTCTGAGCGAATCTAGCCAGAGTGTAAAAAGACTTCAGCGACAACATACTGAGCTCACCAGAAAGAGAAAAACAGAAAATTAAGGCATCTGCAGTACGCCGGTACGCAGTGCCAACGCTTCGCTTCCGCGACATCACCAGTCGCACGTGGGCTAGGAATCTCGCGAGGGTCGCTCTGCCCTTAAGCAGACTCGAACCCGCGCCGTCAGTTACGAAACAAGCTCGTTACGTCTGGGCTACGAGCCGTCTGGAGCACACCAGACTAATGAATGGTACCGATGTGAATAACAGTCGCTGGTCCGCATAAATGATAACTAAGATTCATGTCCTAGGTGTGTTCTTCCAAGCACTGGTCCAAAGCATGAGTCCCACACACCGTCCACTGACACCTAGAAGCCAGTGCCATTAGTTCTATGGAGACTTCAGAATGAAGCCACGCAACATCCTCTAGCGGTCGGTGGAAGTCAAGTCAAAACAGGCTCTATGCGCCCGCGGGTAAACATTTAGGAAATAGAGTAACCCATCATCAGTATGAATGACTGATGTACTGGTGTTGGTGATGATGATGACTGACAGACAATAAGGAATGATACGACACAGCGAAGCCATCGACCACATAGGTGCAACAACTAACTCCTTGGTCGACGTTCGGATATACATGGGCGACAGCAGTGAGAGTTCGCCATATCTACATCGAGGGTATTGTACTTACTGAAGTGAAAGAAACACGTGACTTCTGAAAAGCCATATTGTATCGTACCAGCCTAAATCGATAAGCACTATACCATTAAGTTCAGGAAACATAACCTAGTTTGGCTAGCTACTGGGGTGCAACCGCGTTCTTCTGACACCTTAGGCTAGCATTTAGTCCCACTACGCTAAGAACTTCATTGCAGGAATTAGGATCAGGATGGGAATTATAGAAATAGCGTCAGATGAAAACGGCGGTATGCATTGTTTGTGCTTCTCGTTTGGAATGCTTGCATAAGGGAAGCAGTGGGCCCATGAACTCCATTAATACGTATCGTTAGCAGTGGTTAATAGATGAGAAGGACTTCGCTGAGGTTCTCACTGAAGCAGTTGTTCATATCATCAGCGAATTTACCCAAGTAATTCACTTACAGTTGATAGTTAGTACAACACCCGAAAACCAACAAACTGAGTCAAGTCGTGGGTAACATGCAGTTGCCCGGGATTCGCACTACAGCATGATACGCGAGGTTCCTCACTCACCCCTTTTACGTCCAAAGCATGAGAGTAGCTGATGTCCGACAACCGGCGTTGCTCAGTGAGTACGCTTCGTACGGTGTGCTTGATTTGAAAATAGTTTCACTGCTACAACGTTCGAAAAAAATGATAATGCAAACTTGAAGTTGAGATGCGACAAGACCCACGCGGAAAATCGCGGACCGATTCTTTTCATTTGGTTTTCTTACACCTTACTCCGCGGAAATTACCGGGACACTAGAAGCACAGATATGAGGTGCCTGTCTATCAGTCTTCGCTACTCGAGTACCTTGGTTGCATTTAGCTCCCTAAATCGGGTGGCCGCCTCTCAAGCGATGAGATCATGGTTTATAATCGCGGTTCTATCGCGTAATTTTCGGGTTTATGCGAAATGAACCGGTGGCGGCACATGGAGATCAAGTTGTTCTTCAAGCTGAGGCCAAAGACATCGGAGTGTAACATGAAAAAGATTCCTGAAACATTTGCATACAAGTTGTAGTCGAATATATCGAACAATGGACAATCCCTCCCTGTAAGTGAAACTAGCTGCTACAGTGGGGGGGGGATAATGATGTGGGTTTTCGAAAAGCAGATGGGAGAAGTGTGATTCATCCAAACAACTAGCTGCTATCTGTACTCTAGCTGTGTCAGATGCGCCGAAGCCGTGATAGTGTGGTTGGACGCGGAGTACGGTGCACGTCCCGTCACGATATACTTCAAACTAATAGGTTTCAGTTCATATGGTGCAGAGCTAGGGCAGGCTCGTTGTCGTGTACAGGGTATGGGATCCTCATTCGTTGATTATGTACCCCGCACGACTTGGTGAACACCCTTGAGCGGACATCCAAACAGTCAAGTAGTCCACGATTCAACTGACCCAGTACGCGAGTCAAATTAACGCGACTCGTCTGATCAGACGGAGAAAGCGGATGGGAAAACGACGGCGTAACCGAGTGATCCAATCCAAGCCGCACATTTTGCAAAAAATATTCTCGCAGAAAAACGTAATCGTAATGTCAGAATACAAAGCCAAGAAAGGGTTAGGAAAACGCCACGATGTACAAGGTCACATAACTCACTTGGGACCTAGACATTAGATGATGTTGCGCATCCCAGATGTCGAAACGGCGATCTGCGTGATAAACATACTCAGATACATCGTGAAATGCGGCCTCAGTGTTGATCTGAAAAGTCGATCAAAATACAATGTGAGCAGATAATCGTGGCCAGCATATTGGTCACATAAAACTAGCACCGGTGACGATAAAAGCGATAAGAAAGCGAGCACAAGATGAAACATAGGTGACTGGCTGTACAAGGAGGTTACAGCAGCAAACAATAGACAAAGGCAGGTAAAATTCACTAGTATCAACCCAACCGTTGGAATTTGGCTGAAGGTAAAATAACCCATAGGAAGGGAATACACAAGCCTAGAGATAAAACACGAACGCCTGACAGAAAGAGGTCATTTTTAGAAAGAACTATGCGGTGAAAAACACAGTGGGAGATTTTTGACAGAACAAGCTGACCATCAAAACAGCGGTTAGACTTTGCAAGCGAGTGTTAAGCATGATGCAGTCGAAAATAGTGAAAAGCCAACGATGTCTGGAAGTTAGAGGCGATTTGAGCTATACTATTAGTTGAAGATATGAAGGTAGCAGATATTTAAAGCAGCCGGAACGTTCAAAAATAGTCCTGCATGTAAAAAGTAAGCGGCTTTGCTTAAAAAGCACCAATTCAGCCTGAGGTTGTTGTTAAGCATTAACCCGTTCCCCAAGTCTCAGTGTGCAACGCTGCGGAGAAGTGGTGCGGCCAACGGAGCAAACCTCTCATGGATGCCTGAGAGTGACATCAAGAGACCGGGAACATGTTGCGCGATTGCTGAAATAGTGAACACACCGATGCTGATTTGGGCAATGGAACAATAACTCGTTGCATCAAAAACGCAATACATATTCCAAGAACAAGAAATAAGGGCTTTTATGCAACATGGGAAAAGACTACTGATAAACAGTCAATGCCCCACAGTATGAGGAGTTGATCAAAATCGAAAATTTCAAAAGACTGGCAAAAATGATTAAGGTAATTGAAACGGCAACGGATAGGATGGGAGTGGTTTAGTAGCAGTACAAGTGAAGTGCAAAGGTGATTGGGTGAAACTTTGTTCGGATGAGTCGTTTTATCGCATTTAGCCAAAAGCCTAGTATGCCAATATAACCAATGGTGTCTAGTAGATGATTTGACAAATTGTCTGAATCACCAAAGAGCTTGCAAGCAACAAAAATAACAAGCAAGCACATAAGGTGACGGTGCAACCATAGTAACATCTGTACATGAGTCAAAATCAATGAAGCAAGTGTCTGGAGTCATTAACCACACAAAACAGTATGGTTTTCTTTCGGCTGAGAACGCTATGTGACAGAAGTACGTGAAACCAGAGTTTTTGTGCTTTGAACTGCAAAATAACACTGGAGAAACAGCACTAGATTGTAAAAGCACTTGAGACCAGTTTCTGACCTCTGTGTCATCCCCACCAGACGATGCACACAGCGGATGGACGGATGAGAGGGAGGATGACTGGACAAAATACGATTTCATGGATACAATGAAGCAAGTGAACGGTCATAAACAAACTCACCTTGTCCGTGCGACGGATGTGGAGCCCGACTACTGGTGAGTGGATGGAATTAGACAAGCCGTAGCTAACTAAAGTGGCGTTCAACAGTTGCTCGAAAGCAGGAGCCGGTCGCATCAAGTAGGATACAAGTTGGCCGATGAACCAAACAAAAGGCGCACCATGCAATCGGGACAGATTGGTGGATATATCTGCCGGGACTGCGGGAGGAAGCCACGGTAGGGGGCCACTAAGCGCGCCGATATACGGACACAGCACAACACGCGGTCCGGTTACTGCGTTTGACGCGGTGAGTGCTAAAATGAGGGGTGGGTGGGGGAAGAAGAATCAACCAAATTAATCAGAGCAATGTAACGAACAGCTCATGACAAGCGACAGAAGAGGTAAGGGGACAGAAAGAGGAAAAACATAAGCAGTGCACCAGTGCGCTGTACAGACGCGAAGTCACATGAGCACCGTCAGTTGCGGGCTAAGCAGAATGCGAGATTGCCCCCAACCAGGCAGATTCAAATGGGTTACAAGGCAGACGGCTCATTTCTCGGGCTGCTGGCCGAACAAGGGGAGGTGGATAACAACTGGACACATGTTAGAGGGTGCTTGCTCACAAGACTGGGTTGGCAATTGTTTGTGTTCATCAGGTAGAGACAGTAGTATTGAGACTGGAACATGAGACGCGGGGATCTTTCACCTACGCCACGGAACTGCGGGAGAAGCTTCTCACTCCGGTTGACTCATTGGAGGGGTCATTTTGAAGCATAAATGCGCTTTGTGGCAGATTTCGTGGTACCGTTCTGTAAATTCTGCCTTAGCATTTTACGCCACATTTGCACCGATACGCTAAAATGCCGGAGAAATCACCTTGTTGGGCACACGGTAAATGCCCCTACGTAATTTGATTGCTGTGTTGGCTTTCGTAGTTTGTGCGTTGGATTAATTGCCGATTCCTATCGTATCTTGAGTTGCATTCAACGCAATTTTATCCAAAGTTCGTGCAAAGGTTATCGCAGTTGAAAGCTGGATGCAGATCGCAGACAGAAATGTTTAACTGTGACCAGTTCTACATACAAAGTGAGGATCTTTTCCAGTTAAGCCCCGCCACTAATGCAAAAAGAGCACGCACAAAAGTTAAGCCCCGCCACTAATGCAAAAAGAGCACGCACAAAAGTTAAGCCCCGCCACTAAGGCAAAAAGGGTACACCTGAAAAGTCAAGCCCCACCAATAGTGCAAAAAGGGCACGCGTGAAAAGTTGAGCCCCGCCACTGTTTGCCAGCTCCAGTGTACGTAATGCATGTGAACGTGCCCCATAAAAACACTCCTTATCCGCTTCTAAGGTCATTTTTGTCCAAAAAGTTTCTACGTTCACACGTAAAACCTGACATGAACTTTCTGACGCTTTCGGCGGTCGTTCATGACAAGGAAACAGCAATACGTTTTTTGCAAAGCCATGGAGTGATTCATCATCAACGTTTATGCAGACGAGGACACCAAATGACACATTCAACCGTTTCTGACAGGTGGAGGTGTGATGCCCGACAGTGTCGGCAAGAAATCGGTCTTCGAAAGGGAACTTGGCTGCAGCGGTCTAGGATGGATTTCAGGACAATAATCCTATTCATTTATTGCTGGTCCAAAAATCTGACAACAATCAAATTCTGCTCAGAGGAGTTATCTATCGGCCACGCGACCGCTGTCGACTAGAAGAACTTTCTGCGTGAAATTTGCGCCTGGCAGCTTTCGCAGACTCCAACGATTGTCGGCGACCCAGGTCTACATGTCGAGATCGATGAAACCCTAATATCACGTTGTATAAACTATGTAGGGCCAGTCCTTCCCCAGCAGTGGATTTTCGGAGGGATTTGCCGCGAGACTAAAGAAGTGTTCTTGTATGCAGTGCCAGATCGAACTGCGGCCATTCTGCTGGACAAAATCCGGGCCTGCATCGCTCCCGGCTCAATTATCATTTCCGATATGTGGGCATCATATCAAGGCATTGAATCGATGATTGGCACGAGTTATACTCATCAAACGGTTAATCATACCGAAAACTTTGTGGATCCAACGACTGGAGCTCACACACAAACCATCGAATCTCTCTGGCACACTTACAAGATGTAGAATAAGCGCCAATGCGGTACACACCGATCTTTAATGGACAGCTACCTGTGTGAGTTCGTTTGGAGGCAAAGACACTGAAAAATGGACCTTTTCATGCAAATTATTAATGACTTGTCTCAATTTCACCATCTTCAATAGAGAGTAAAAGTTCAAGTTCCATATCCTCCCTTATCATAATCTTTTTTGGGTGGCGGGGCTTAACTGGAAAAGATCCCAAAGTGACATAGATTCCATCCGAGGTTCAATCCAGTTTTCTTCCTCTTCTCATAACAATTCACTACCATACCGTCTGAAATTTTCCGGAGGCATGACACCAACTGAGCTCTACTAGTCCTAAAAACCCAGATGATGATGGTCCGATGCTTGAGGAACCATGGAAAACTCAACAATGTAAGAAGCCGCGAAAAACAGAAGGCTACCACTGCTGATCAGTAACAAGCTAAATCAAGGAAACAATTGCTTCAATTGATAAAAAAGTGATCAAATCTGATGGTTTTTTACGCATCAGTACACTGATCCAAGTCCCCAGTCCCACTACGATCATAAGCTTGGTAGTAAAACGCTTAGTTCACAGGCTCCTTGTATGGGTGGGGGTGGGAGTGAAAGAGAGGCAAATTACCTGCCTCGGAAAAAGCACCACTGAGAAGAACCGACCTATGCAGGCAGCATTTGCCGACGAGGCCAATGCGAAGTTAATACTGTCTCGCCTGAGTAAGGTGAGAGGCAAGAAGGCGCATATTCGTCCGGATATAGAAGCATCTTACTGATACCGCTTCAAGTATGCCACCATCGAGCTAAGGCGGCGAGCCGGTGGGAGAGAAACAAATCTAAGTGTTGTAAATTTTCGGGTGGTTACAACGCGAACGCGAATTCGGGTAAACCGGTCCCTCATTCCTTACGCACGCTCGATAGTTCCTACCATAATCTATGTATAGCTTGACTGGCGTCTGCGGTCTTATGTACAAGCGTGATGAGCCGTACCTCTTCGTTGCTTCTGAACGACCAGAGGTAGTGGGACTCGAAAAGACATGGTTAAATACTTAAGAACTCACTCAGGTAGTTGAGGCTAGTGGCTACCCCTGCTTCCGCTGTAATAGGCTATTGGATGTCAGCGATGGCATCTTGCTCCACATCCGATATTCTCTGCGTGGGAGATTTGTGAGCGCTTACCGAGGTGACGGTCTATGTGAGGAGTTGTGGTGCTCGATCCACTTCAGGTGCGGAGAGGTACTCGTGGGTGCCTTTCATCGCAGTCCTCTGAGTTGTTTGGACAGGCTGCCGTATATCCGAAACCCCTGGCTAGCCCCCATTTTCCACTCATGGGCGATTAAGATTGTCCTAGAATACACTGAGACGTTCAATGTGTCTCCGGATACTGTGATAATGAGGCACAGTTCATTGAAGTGGTAGTTGAAACAGGGGCGGGACTACACATCTGCCAACCGACGTGCATAACACAGTGCCCAAAGCCCACGCGCCTAGACTTAATGCTAACAAGCTGTGGATAACATAAATATGACGTTCAAATTCTGGAGCTCTGGCAGCAAGCGACAACTCAGCCCTTACTACCAACATGGAGCTGCCGCTGCACCAATCCCACGCACTTCAGCCAGCTTACAACTATTAGAAAAATGACTTGGACTACCTGAATCGAGCCAAGCGGATTGGTCTCTGCAGCAAGCTGCATCTGTTGTGGCTTAGTGGGCAGTCATTAATTATAAATGGAAACGCATTGTGTAACCAGTTTGTTCCTCTCAAGAGTCGGACCGGTCAGGTCACATCGGTTCGACGATCAGTATGGTAAACCACAGTGTGTCCGATATGCTTGGACTAAACTCCGTAATTCAGCCGTGACACATACTTTTTAAATATGTACTTGTACGCATATAGAAAACCCCTGTCCAGCTATCCAATCGGAAATTCGTGTTCGACAGCGAATGCTCACACGCATGCACCTGTTTTTGGAGAGGGGGGCACACAATCGCCTGTGAAGCCATGGATTTTGCTCTCTGCTTTTATTGCATGTATGGCAGCCCTGCAACAAAGGCATTTCGTTGAGAGACGAGCATAGAGAGACCACATAAGTCAATCCAACGATCGATAGCTTCGGTCGCAGCGACGCGTACTGACTATCGTTCGTTCAAGGCAAGTTAAGCCGCAGGATACAAGAAGCTTGTTTGGCAGAGAATACGGACGGGTTGTTGTTGGGCATTGCGGGTTGAAACGAGAGATGGGGCACAGACAGCACAGGTTAGCAGTCTGACTATTGGTTGGTGGTGCAAGATAAGCGGTGCGATCCTTGTCTTTGTGTTATTGGACCACTGTCTCAGCAATGGAGCACAAGCATGCACCCAGTCTGCGACTTGACTTCAACGTTAACTGGCTGATGATCAGCACGTGCCTATTCTTCGACTGTATGATGAGTGTGGGTCGAACGCTGCAGAAGCTGCTTGACAATACAATATTATGAATGAAAGAATGCAGCCCGCGGAAGGACGTTACGTGCATAGACTAGTGAAAGCGTTTCATAAAATGAGGAGTGTGTGCAACACAAAAAACTGGGCGGCCCCGCATCGTCATGGATGACCTTTCAGTTTGTGCTGTTAAGCATGAAGTATACAGAATGGACGAGCTCAGCATACGCAGAATCGCGCAAATTTGTGACACAACCCGATACACGGTTCACAGGATTTTAGTGGGAGGAAATTTTCACTGATTTGGAGCACTCTAAGTTCTGGTTATGTACCCAACAATCTGGACAAAAGGAATGCACTTCGCCGTTGGTTTTTGGATCACATGAGCATTCATTCTATAGTTTCCACTGATAAGGCAAAATTTGTATCTGCATAGAACAGCATTATACAGCATTTTTGATCTATATCTAACCCACGCCAATACAGGACGTCATCTAATCAAAATACGGCAAAGATCAAGGTTTGGGTTGGAATAATGGGTCGAGAAATCGTTAGACCATTTTCTTTTCCAAGAATGTGACTGGTGAGGCTGGACCTAACCGTGGTGCGATGGTTTGCGTGCTTCAGAGATTCACTGAGCTGTGCTGGGTGGTGCTTTTTTGCACCTTCAGAGCCACTCATACCAGATTGGTCAGTGGTTAGAGGCCAGACAAACGCAGCCTCCTGGTCCTCTAGATTGGGGTTGGAATGAAGATGGCTCCCTTTT